ATTTTCTACACAAGGAAGAACAACAATTAAGGAAAAGAACATCCCATTTTGCAACATCATATTACTTCTCCGTGAAAATAGACTCGAAACTGAAAGAAAAAAAATTTCCTTCTTATTCGTTCGAAATTCTGGGCACTTCTATTGCTCATTGAAAGGGTATTCGATCTTGTATTAAATATTTTATTTTTAAATTTGTGTCTAATGATAGTTTGTCTCCATCTTTTGCTTTCTCTATTTCTCAATTTTCAATTGTAGAAGTTCCAAAAGTGTGCAAAAAGCTCTAAATGTTCCTGAGCGGAAGAAGCAGTACTTGAAGAGATGAATGCATTGGAAAAGAATAATACATAAGTGATGACCTTACCTAATGGGAAATCCACTGTTGGCTGTATTTGGGTCTTCACTATCAACTATAACTCCAATGGCTCATTGGAAAGGTGCAAAGCTACATTGGTCGCTAAAGGCTTTACCCAAACTTGTGGTATTAATTATTTAGACACTTGCACAAGTGGCAAGTTGAACACAATTAGGATTTTATTATGGCCCCGTTTGGTACTCATTTTTTTTCAAAATGCATTTTTCTCTCTTTTTTTCAATCACACATTCTTCATTAAAATAATATTACACGTAGATAAAAAAAATTTCCTTATTTTTCAACCACGCATTTCTCATCAATTTACTATTCTAAAATGCATTTTTACGTAAAAATGACTCTCAAACACCCTCTATATGTTGCTGTGATCCGGAGTGGTTCTTATAAAAGTTTGATGTAAAAAAATATATTCCTAAATGGTGATTTGAAAAAGAAAGTGTAAGGAATTTTAAATAATCATGTGGACTTATATGTGTGAATTATTGTGTATTAAATCAAAGGCTATCAGATTTAGTTAAGCCTAGTTAAAGTGATCTAATAAGCCTCCAGTATTTTGGATTTTAATGCATCCAATTAAAATGTGGGTCTTTTATGTATAGAGAATAGGCCTAGGTTCCTAATTCTACGATGGGCCAAATTAGATCAAAGGGCTACAATATATAAATACAGTTATAGTCTCCAAATCACACGATTTGCTCATTTTGTTGTGCCTCCCATCACCAGAGAGAATTAAGGTTTACGTGTTGATTTGAAGACAAAACTGTAAGATTCAACTGTTGCATTAACCATGTCTGATTGAGGTGCGCTTTCACTATCCTTTTTGAATTTCTTGATGATCCAACATAAAAGATCTGATGATTATGATTATAACAATTTCTCCTATAGAAAGGTACTTGGATTCTCTACTTGGCTTTGGAGAAAACATCGGTTCTAGAGCATGCAACGTGAAAAAAAATCCTTTTATGGTCACAAATAGTCTTCTTGAGCTTGATTCGATAAGTTTACTCAATCATTTAAAAGATAAGGCTATCATCAGGGACAAACAGGCCATACTATGTTCATAAAACGTTCAGTTCAATGTTAAGAGTATATGTTGATGATATGATCCTTACTCGAGATAACTTGGATGAAACTACTAGAATGAAGACGCACTTATCATTTGAGTTTGAGATAAAAGTTTTGAGAACTCTGAGTTAATTTCTTGGGATGAAAGTTTCTCCATTCAAGAAAGGAATAGTTGTATCCTAAAGAAAATATATGTTGACTTGAATGATGTGGGTGCATACCTTCATAGAATCCAATGGATCCTAATATAAACCTGGAGAAAGTAATTGATCCAGTAGATAATACAAGATATCGAAAATTGGTAGGAAAGTTAATTTACTTGTCTCATACTTGTCCAGATATCGCCTTCGCTATCAATATGGTTATTCGGTTTATGCATACTCTATATGAAGAATATCTTGATGTTATGTACAGAACTACTGGAAAAGGATTATTTTCTAAGAAGAATGAGCATCGAGGGATTGAAGTTTACATTGATGCAGATTGGGCAATATTTGTGATTGATAAAAGATATACATCATTATATTATACCTATGGATAGGGTAATCTAGTAACTTAGTGAAGTAAAAAACAAAATAATTTATCTAGAAGCAATGTAGAAGCTGAATTTTGAACAATTGCTCTTGGTGTTTATGAAATTCTATGGCTAAGTCTAGTTTTGGAAGAATTGAAGAAACCAACTGAGATTCCTTTGAAGCTTTTGATTAGCATTGCACAGAATCTAGTTCAACTTGATGAAACCAAATATGTGAAAGTTGATAGGCATTTTACTAAGGCAAAGATTGAATCTGGTGTTATTTGATTACTCCTATTTCAATCAATGGAATAAAACTTTGTTTTATTCTTAAAGAGCACAAATTTCATTTTCCTTTGACATGCCCCGCAAGATGGTGCTTCATTCTAAAATATTATCTTGAAATTCGAAAGTTCGCTTGAGATTTAGACGGATGATTGTTCATTTAAATTAATTCACTTTCATATGGTCAATCTTGTTAAGACTAACCAAATTATTTATGTATTTACTTATAATTTAGTTGATATGGGATTTGTTAAATAAAACACATAATACAAAAATATATTTAGTACTTAAAATAACAAATGCAAGGATAAAAATTCACAACTAAATGGGAAAACGGAATGACAAAACTGAAGCTTGTGTAAATATGACGTCCTTAAAACAGATTGACCTGTTTACCGTCAGTGATTGAGGTTTTGTGAATGTCTTTCTTTTATGATAGATTGGAGAGACAGTAGAAATAGAGCATTAAATTAGCTATTTTACTAATGGGTCAAATTTTGGTTCGACGTTCGTATAAGCGCGTGCGTATGAATTCAATAGCTCGAGGTGCTAATTTGATTTGTAGTTTGCACCTCATTGCACTAACTTAGAGAGCCTGTATGCTGCACATAATTGCATTTCATAAAATATTTCCATGTATAAATTAATCATCATCTTATTATGTTTCTTATATGGGACAAGATACAATTGTTTTCTTTCCAATACCTAAACCACTTCCAACAGGTAAACTTTGAAATTTAATTTCTCATTGACCCAAGCATCAATAATTAAGTAAATATATAAATTCGATATTTTCGTGAATGAGAGCATGCATCTATTTTGATTTTTCAAAAATGATGAAATGGTCCCACTCAAAATTATGCCAAAGTAACACTACTTGCCAACAGGATTTACAATTGACTGTAATGATCAATGAATTTATTCAGAGTTCGGTTGAAAATTTTTGGATAATTTTTACTAGATTAATAATTTGAAGCTTGAATTTAGATAAATAAAAGTACACTTCAAGAACAAACGCTATTTCGAAATCACATGCTTCCATACCTCTCATTGTATATGAAAGACACCCTCAGTCCTTTCACTACTGTATGTACATAGAAATCAAAATATTCAAAATGTTTTTGTATGGCATTCGAGGTCAGAGACATTTTTTTTTGCAATTTAATTTGAATATCATGTTAAAACAATAAGTATTATAATAGAATGCAGCTTTAAAAATGGCATTACCATTTAAATCACGCTGAGTCTTGTTTCTTTTTTCTGTAATAGATTGTCGAATTCTGTCACGTTTTTTGTTCGAGAACCCTTCAATGCTAGGCCACAATGCTTAGCTTTTGTATCATCTTACGTTACACCTGTTGATTTCTTCTACAAGAGGAACCACGTACCAATTTAAGTAGTCAATGACACTGAGAGGTCTGATGCCTCTCCCTTTCTACAATCTGCATGATGTCTGCGTAGGAATAAAATTAGTTGTAGATACATTTTTGAAACAATAAATTGCAAAAAGTAAGAAAACTCATCAGTTGAGATTCGTGACAGCACAATGTCCTAAAGTGAAATTGCATGTTAACAGCTATGATCGTTTTGAATAATCGTGAGCATAAAATGATCAAATCACTTGTGCAGCAATCACAAGCAGTTTCTAAAACTCTCAAATTTCACTTCATAACAGTATTTGAGCAAAATAAATTTTAGAATCAATTTTTCTTATGTGTAGAAGATGAAAGAATTATGTATCCTTTTCCAGAAAAAAGATGTATATATAGCTCAAAAAATAACTTCCAATATTAATTCTAAATTGATTAAATAAAAAATTGGTTTTATTATTCCATTAATAAGTTAGAATTTAGTTAAAAAATAATGGTTTTTATGTTTAAAAAATCATCCAATAAATGTTTCAACTACTTTATATTATTGTTTAGTTTGACCAAAAAATAAAATCGAAACTGATTAAAACATTGTAATACAAGTTTATTTTAATCAAAGAAGCCCCAGGCCCAATCATATAATTTTATATATTTAGGTTGAGTGTGATTCGAACAATTGATCTCCCACATAATTTTTTTTTTTCACTCAATCAACTATTCTAATTCTATTATTTCTTTCAAATATTATATGTGATATATCGTAAAATCCTCCACATTAAAAAAATAAATATAAATATTATTTTGACGTACAGAAAAAATCATGTAGGCTTTGTTGTCTTTTGATTGAACCTTGGTATTGTATATTCTATCAAATTTGTCAACTGTAGAGTGCACTATGTATTGAACTTTATAACTATTGTTTCAAACTTAGACAATAGAACAAACACATGACTTATAAGATAATCATCTAAGTTCTTATGGTCATTTTCATTTCATCCATGAACTTTCTTAGTTTCTTTGAGTGATCTAGAGAATTAGCGTCAATACTCGTAGGAAGCAACACAACTTCTACACTCAAATAGGCGCTTCTATTAAAAGTGCATTGTATCTAATCACTCCACTGAAAAATAGCTATAGAAAGAATTGAATACATTAGCTCATCCTCGAATCAATGCAATTGGTAATACTACTATCACAAGAAGGGGTTTGGAATAAATCTAATGAGTACCCCCACGGACAACTCTAATAACTTTGTTGTCCCATTGAACTTTATATTTGGGATCTCTAGTCGTGAGGTTGGGTTTCAGTTATAAGTGATCTAATTTCTAATAGGCTTTACCATGTTCCCTTCATTTTTTTGAACTAGCCCTCTAGCTAATCTTTTGATTAATAAGTGAGCAATATTCTCACTTGACTTCATATAGTCAATAGCTATGAAGTAGATGCTTTATTACTAATTTCAGAAACATTAAGTTTAAACACACTCTCATCTGTATATAATTTCCCAAAAAAAAATAACCTTTTGACTAATATATAACTAGAGACTATATTTTCTTAGTATCATGTACATCGAGAACGTCTTTCAAACTAAGGACATTTTTAGAAGTAACCCTTGTCACAGTTCTTTTTCTTTTAAACTTCTAGAAAAAAGTTTTCACGTGAAAAGATATTCTCCATCACTAACAAGAGTGAATGAAGAAAATGTACCTATCAAGCAACAAATATGCTTGATAGCTCCAGATTCTATCCACTTGTCTGTCAATTTGTTTATTAGACTTACTCATGTCACCATTGTAGAGAAGTTTTCATCCTCTACTATATGCGTCCAATTCTTCATAGCGTTTCCTTTTCTATGTTTGTAATCCTTTATAATGTAACTTGGTTTACCATAAATAGAACAATCAACAGTAGTTTTATTCGTAAAATGGGGTTTATACTGTGTGTTCTTTCCTACAATTTTCTTTCCATTATTTATGTACTTAAACTTTTGGCCCTTGTTAAAATTCCTAAAAGAATCCTTACCAATAGATTTTTCCTCAATAAGATTAACATTGGCACCCAAAATCTCTCTCTCTCTCTCTTCTATGATCAGACCTCAGAAAGACATTTCTTTTCTCTTGTGTTTCAAATTATTTTTATACACTCTTCAAGCAGGGAACAATTTTTCAAAAATAGAAGATAATTGAAAACCCTCACTGATTTTACTCCTCAACAATAATTTTAGGAATAATAATTTTTATTTCCTCAACTTGGCTAACTATAGTTCTAATATCATCAATTTCAAAAATAAAAAAATTTTCTCTACATTTTTTAGTTCCAGCATCTTCAGTTGTGTCTTTTTTCTTATGAATTCCATATTTTTTAGCAAATTTACAAGCTAGTAATTAAACATCATATAATTCTAAAGACAATCAATTCCTAATCTAATTTCCCGACCAACTAAGTCCTTTTTCCTCATCAGTAGGTTTGTTAGGACTAATAACAATAGATTTTTCAAATTCAATAACACCAACCTCTTTAAGAATTGTCAAGTAAAATCGAAAACCTCTTATAAATTTTTACTTTAGATAGTAGGACAAAAGTTAGTTGTAGATACATTTTCTAAAAATAAAATGTAGAAACTAAGAAGGCTTATCGATCGAAACTAATGATAACATGATGTCATGAAGTGAAATTATTGTCTTCATTTGCTGTGACATCTATGAAAAATTAATCATAGTATACAACAATGGAATAACTTGTACAGCAATTGAAGTACTTGTGTAGCAATCACAACCGATTTTCACAACCCTCATATTTACTCCAGAACAATAGTTGAGCAAAACAATTTTTTAGAATCAATTTTTCTAAAGTGCAAAATATGAAAAATTCTTTTAGCGTTTTCTAGAAATTATGTGTATTCATAGTCCACAAAATATCTTCAGTATTAATTTGGAGTTATTAAATAAAAAATCTTGGTTTTACTAATCCACTAATAAGTTAGAATTTAATTAAAAAACTGTAATTTTTATGATTTCAGTAAATCAAGCATAATTGTTTCAATGCTATATATTACTGGTTAGTTTTACCAAAAATAAACCCGAAGATGATGACGATAATAATAATAATAATTTTATTATAGGGAAAAATACATAACTTCCTAAATTTGAAGATACAATTTCAACTTTGACAAATTAGAGATTTTCTTTTTCAAAAATAAGTTAAAAATAGGTTGTTATTATTATATTGAAATTTTATGTAATATATCTATATTAGATAATGATAGACATTTAAAAAGATTCACCCTTAAAGCAAGGAATTCGTTACACTTTACTTCCAAAAATTTTGTGGTATTAATTAAATTAAAAATTAATATATTTTATTAATTAAATA